AGTGCACAAGTAGAAGGGTCGCTGAGACAAGAACTAGTAGTGTCTCCGTACTGTGTAAATCGAACGTCTCAAAGAGCTGTGTTTCTCAGGCTTAACACGGGTGTCTGGTGTTCTCACGTTCGGAGATTCGAGATCGTGATCGGGGCCTTGAAGGTGTCCAGAGGTCCGAGCTGGTCGTGGCTGTGAGCTTTGTCGTCAGAACAAGATGAGCGAGTGACAGGCGTAACAAGAGTGAGTCCTGTTCGGAAAGGCAGGTGACAAGAATTTGTGCGTCGAATTGATATGCAGCCTTTGCAAAGTGCTGGTGCTTCTGTATATGAGTTGGAAGGCATGCACGATAGCGCCGAATGCAGTTAGTGCAACTACTCCGCCTCTGTTGCCTCTGGATCGATAGGCACGGATGCGTAAGGTATATTTAGCAACCTTCAGCGGCAGTGATTTGCTATTGCGTTGCGGTGTGAACAGATATTGCGAGTCTGCAGAACTGAGTTGCGCGTTTTTCGTCACCAACCTGTCGCACCTGATCAAGGTGTCGTAAGTCAGTGGCACTGGCAACACGGCAGTCAGGGACTCAACTATCGCGATGTGAGATCATTAACTCATAGACGGCTACAGGCATCCAGGATCGTGCCAAAATAATGTCGAAAATAGACGGGTATGGAAGCCTTACCCGCGAGGCAGAGAGCGAAATGGTCGTGGAGGCCTTGTCAAGGTCCATGGAAGCTGGTTCCAAGGTCCCACCAGATCCGCCCACGCTAGGCCGCGAGGGGTACAGCGGCGCATCCAACCAGCCCTGGAGCCCTGGAGCCTTTCACCTACCAAGGTACAGACCTTCCGAGGTTTTCCACTGACATCGTGGTACTTCGTAAAAGTGCAGTGGTGCACTCTGAGGATCATAACATTTTGACTCTTTTGGTGTGATATGATTTTTATTGCGACTTCAATGGCCGCGCAGCCACCCGTTTCCACACATGTGAATAACGAACAAGCGGCTTTCCGTGCACTTCAAACGCCAGCTTAGAATTATAAGTGGAACGATGCTCCGAGGCTCCCAAGTCCTCAAAGACTCCAGCAATATGATAGTGGATCAAATTCCCTGCTGCATTTTCGTACTCTCATCCATGAAGTACAACACAATTCTTGGTTCATGGTTTGCTGTGTTTCTCTTGCGTGGTGCCATCCCATTGTTTCGCATTTAGGCCATGTGTCTTATCGACTTCATTTCTTTGCAACAAGATTTCGATTCTAGATAGAGGCTGCTGACCGCGGAGCTCGAGAAATTCGCCCATGGTCAGGGACTGAAGCTAAGACTCTCTTTCACCTTCACTTCACCTCATCCTCATCACGCTACCCTCGCTTGTTTTGCCGAACAAAAACACTCGCAACCACGCACACCACGCACACCAAACGCACTGCCCAGCTTGATACACAAGACCATGGCCACCGACAAGGACAACGCCTCAGAAACGAAGCTGCCACTAGTTGGGTTCGTCTCACTCGAGTCAGCACACTTATTGCCCAACTAACTGATCAACCCAGGCTCGCTGCAAGTAACGATGTTGTAGTTGTTGAGGTTGGTCCCGAGCTGAAGAGGTACACCGTACACAAAGACCTCCTCACGTATCATTCTGAGTACTTCCTCAAGGCTCTTGGAGGATCTTGGAAGGAGGCTCAGGAAGGCGTCGTTTCACTGAAGGACGCTGACACCAGAGTGTGTACGTAATTTGAGATTTCAGAAAGTGTGCAAGTACACTAATGTCTACAGTCAACCTCTTCGTCCATTGGCTCTACACCAAGGTGTTACCAGACCCGGTCAGTGCAGGTGACGACTGGGACCGTATAACAAAAACCGAAGAAGACGAGGATCAGCCCGAGCGGATCTACATTGACGCCTATGTGTTCGGGGATAGATATATTGCTCTGGAGTTCCGCCGCGTAATCCACGAAACTTTAGACTCTCGCCTCAAAGAATACTATCTCTGGGGCGTTGACAGCATTTCGAGTATCGCGACTGCTTATTTGAGTATTCCCTCACACCTTCCGATACGGCAACAACTGGTTGATTTGTACTGCGAAAATTGGGATGCATGGTCCAACAAGGATTGCGGGGAACAAATGGACCCAGCTTTCTCTTCCCAATTCCAGAAGGGCTTGCCAACCGCGTTTCTCGTCCGCGTCATGAAAAGGCTCTATGAGTTACGGAGTGGGAAGACATTCGAGATGGAATATGACGAAACCCCGAAATTGCGCTGCTATATCGACCACACATCGGATGCAGAGAAGGAAGACTGTGATGATCTTCATGAGGTACGATGAAGAGGAGGATTACGGCTACTTCGAATGATTGCGAAGTGCAGATTCGGTAACGGAGTGACAGCCCATGTATCTGAGAACTTTCCAGAGGCAAAGAGTTTGGTACCACACCACAGATGATCTCAGCATGTACCACAAAATCTCGTTTTATCGTCAGCTGTCAAGAGGGGACGAGGCTATAACAGTTGCTAGAGGCCAGTCAGTATAATACAGCTGAATGCTAGTCGTAGCTTTGGACAGGTAGTTCAAAGAGGAATATTAAACGGGTAGTATTCATGTCTCATGAGCTCGAGCACTTCAAGCTCTTACGGACCTAATCGTTTCCACCACAAGAAATCACAATTGTGAGCCACATGTTCGATAAATGCAAGTCTACGTGACCTCGGCGTTACCACCGCCGTCTAATCGCTTCAAGTCTTTGAGGCACCGCCATGCTTGGGACCGAAGATATCGTCGACAAATCCCTTCCAGATCTGTCTCGCCATACCCTCGACCTCCTCAACAGGCTTCTGCAGTTTGGTAGCGACCTGCGCAGCGATGCCCTGGAAGTCAATATGGTTGCCTTCAGTCACATCGGACATGGCGGACGGCGCGTGAATGTGTGTGCCATCGGCAGCGACAGTGTAGATGGTCGGTTGCATGACCTGCTTGATCAGTCCAAAGCTCTCATTTTAAGCAGTGGGCAGAAGTACCGGCTCTTCAGCCTCGGCAGCGGCTGCCTGCGTCGCCGGAGACGTAGCAGTCGACAAGATAATGGGTACACGGATCTGAGTGGGTGCGGTCTGCGCATCCGGGTCGAAATCCGGGACGTACATGAAGTCGATAGTGGAAGTGTCATTGACAGCCTTCAGGCTTCGACTTGTGTTGAAGTGACGCATAGCATTGCCGGTCTCGTGAGTCCAGGCTGCGGTTTCAGAAGAGGGCAGCTTTGGGCTCAGTGAGCCGAACATGGGCTTGTCTGATGTGAGGAGCGACGAGGAGCTGGCCGCTCCGGTCATGTGCAGGTTACGGCTCTGGGTCTTGAGCAGACGAGGTCCTTGTGTCTTGAGAAGACGGGGTCCCTCTGTCTTCAGGAGGCGTGGACCCTGGGTGCGGAGAAGGCGGGGACCATCAGTGTGGACACTGCGGGTCTGTGTCTTGAGCAGGCGTGGACCCTCGGCACTGCGGAGCAGACGTGGGCCTTCTGTCTTGAGGAGACGAGGACCCTGGGTGTCAAGGAGGCGGGGACCTTGTGTGCGGAGAAGACGTGGGCCAGACATAACGTGTAGGTGTGTTGAGGAAGATGGTGTAGAAAGAGGGTATTGTCGTAGCAAGAGCAGATAAGCCTAGCAGTTAAGTAGAGGTTACAGGCTGCAGTAGTACCGGATGGCTGGAATGTCGCGCACGTCAGATATGTGCAGTTCGGCACGACTCGGAGGTTATTATCAAGTGAATATGGAGGTGAGGAGGAATGTCTGGTTGAGCAGTGCCGAGGGGACCTCGGGGTTTTGAGCTTCACCTCGGGACTTTAACCTTCTCCGGCTCCTTTCCTGCGACAGGCGGTCAAGACGCTGGCGTGAGATGCCAATTGCGTTGCGCTCGCACTAGACGTTCATAAAACGCGCAATGCCAATTGGTGTGATTAGCAATTCGAGACACAGCATGCAAGTTGATCGTCTCAAATGGATGCGCATGGAGCTCGGGCCCGCTGAAACCGCCTGTCTACGCTGGAATGGGCTTACTGCTGCACCCGGGCCAATGGTACATCTCCACTCTGCAGCTCAAGATGGCACCCCGCACTTTCAGCGGCGCTGTAGTGATGCATCCGGAACACCTGAGTCTCACGCGGGCATTTTGTTGGCTGCGGATGGTTCGGCTGTATAGGTTTAGCATTGTATCTGCTCGCACACTCTTCCCCACTCGCTGCACCCTCGAGCAACATAGTCGGTGTGCACGGCGGTCAAATTTGTTGACTTGTGCACGTTCAGTGCCACAACCGTATCATCTGGCCACGCTGATGAGCGAGGTCGGGAATGCTTGTGCGCTCCCGCGGGTGCTGTCCCTGGCGATCGGCTCTCCGCGCAAGCACTGCTCGCCTCATTCAAACATAACGAATGCGATCGCGATAAGGAGCTGCCAATCATCAAAACTCGTCCAATCTGAACATGACGAAATGCCACAGGCTTAGAGCTGTCGTCATGAGGCTCGTTGAGTGATAACAGGCGGCTCAACACCTGCTGGACAGCACAATCAGGATCGATATCGTGCCTGCTCCCGCGGCAGCTTGCATAAAGGTAAGGCTGCTCCCGCGGGAGTGCCATGGCATCATTCGCAAGTTCTGCTCGATCAGGTTTGGCAGCTGGGCAGTGTCAGGAACGAGGCTGGGCAGGGGCCATCTTGGGGCTTAGCTTACACAAAGGCAGAACCAGTCATGGAGAAGAGCAACGCAACACGCAACAGCAAAGAGGCTTGGAGCTTGACATGATACTTGAGCTGACTCATCGCAAGCGCTGAGGAATTGTCCAGGGATAGAGGACCGTGATCTGACCTGATGTCTGAGCGATTTTGTTTAGTGGATCAGCCGTCAATGCTTGCTATCCCACCAATCCAAGTTGGAGGGCGTGCACCAGGAGCACTACGTAGATCATAATGGCTATATTTTTCCTAGGTATCATCAAAACATCTCAAGGCGGATGAGAGTTCAGACCGGCCTGGTGGTCTAGTGGTATGATTGTCGCTTCGGGATCATATGATCGCCCGAGATACCTTGTATCTTACATGTGACAGGCCCCGGGTTCGAATCCCGGCCAGGCCCGTTTTCTTTTTTGCGTTCTTTTTGCCTTTTTATGCTCTTGACGTCGTGAAGAGCAATACCAATCCACATTTTTCCTCGGCGAGACAGCTGGCCCTTCAGCCTAGGTGGGAACACCGAGAGGCAACATTTGTTTAACTTTGTAGTTGTGTGAGGCAGCTTTGTGATGTATGTCACTGATATGATCGCATTTGATAAATCTGCCTGTGCGTTGCTAAACTTAGAATAGCCCCGTGTTCGTTTTGTTAATGCTCTTGCTATATTATATTTGGAAAGGCACTGTGGGCAGAGCACATGGTAGTTCGCCGAAACTTGAAAGTACCATTGCTCGGACTTTCTCCCTCTTGGCCACAACGCCATCACGCAAGCCCTCACGCCGCGGCTGCAGCAACAGCAGGCGCTGCAACGGTCGAGCTTCGTGAAAACATCCTCTTGAAAACGCTTTTCCTCCTCTTTCTCTTCGGCTGCACGTCCGCGGCACTCTGCCCTGCTGTCTCGTCTGCTGTTTCCTTCTCCTCTTCAATAGGTTTCTTCTTTGCCATCTTTTCCCGCACGACCCGCTCCTGCGCCTTCTCCCAATACTCGAGCTCTATTCTGCGCGCCTGAACCGCGTTTTGGTACCACCCGTCCCACTCCTCACCGTCCCATCCACGTCGACTGCTCCACTTCTCCATTAGCTTCGTGCCGAAGCCCTCAGCCTCGGCCTTGGAGCAGTTCGGACACAAGGTGGTGAGTGGCATGAGCCGTGTCGAGGTATTTGGTGTGTTGTAGAAAGAGTAGAACTGTGTGGAGAATGGTGAGTAGGGTAGGGACGTGCAACCCTTCTTTGTGCAGTTGCGGGGTGTGTAGCGCCAGTCAAAACCGTCATTTGTCTGTGTTGTCTTTCCTTTTGGTGAGATTGTGTGTATCGAGCCAAGGACCCGGTTGCTCTGCAGTCTCTGAAGTCGTGCATCTTCGACTTGGCGCGCTTCTCGGTAGAATTGTAGGAAAATCTCAAAATCCTGTGCAATGACGCCGAGGGTCCTCCGTGCGGCGTTTTGTCGCATTGTCTCATATTCCTTTTTGCAGAGAGCATTGGCTTCCTTCATCTCCTTGCTGGCGTGTCGAGGGCAGTAGCCGTGGTGTCTTGAAAGATTGTATGGCTCCTGTGCGGCATAATATGTCGGACCAGAGTGCGCTGGTGTATAGTGTGCTGTGCACATGGCTGCCATGCAGGGAATGTAGTTTTGTAGCAAGTCATACTTGTTCGATGGTGCGGGCGAAGGAAGCGTGGTTGTGGATACCGTCGGTGGCGACGATAGATTAGAGACGACAGACTGGTAAGACGTGGTCCTTTGTGTTGGCGTTGGCCTCCGACTCGGGGGTACAAAGCCTGCAGGAAGTGGAATGCCTGACCAACGTGGATCCAGACGCGGGTCAGTTTGGGAAGGTGCTGCGGGAGCAGAGAAGCGCTTATCGACACGTTTCCGGAGTTGAGTTACTGGCCCTGGAGAAGCCTTTGGGTGGTCTTGCCGGGTCTGTGTGGGTGATAATGTCTGTGGTGAGCCCGAAGTGTCCCCTGGTGAAGTAGCAACGCTTGCTCGTTTTGAAGCCGACGAAAGTATGGGAGGACGTGCCAAAGTGGCGATCACAATTTTCTTCTGCTGGTATTGATGCGGTCCGAGGCTGGGCGGGGTATTACCTCTGGCATATTCCGGTCTGACTGGCCGAGATGCGGAGATCGGTGACTTTAAGCTTGTGGTCTTGCCAGACTCAGTATTTCTGGCCAGCAATGGCTCGGGATCCAGAAACCGAACTGTAGGCGGTGCGGATCTTCGGTTGAGGTTGGCGCCTACAGATCTCGAAGGCTTTATATTCGACTTCATAGAGGAGCGCTTGGTAGCTCCTGCAGAAGCATCGCTGCTGGCGAACGATGCACTATGGTGATTAAGTGACGATAGACTAGAATGTCGGGTAGAGTTAGGTGTCGTATTATTGCTCGAGAGCGGAGGCCTTGATCCGGAAGTTTTGGCGTTGAAACGCATCACTGAGCTGTTTGAAGGTTGACTTGAGGATGTGCTCGACTCGGAAGGGTTCTCAGCGAGGGCGACGCGAGAATTTTGTGAAGCCTGTAAATGAGGGGCGGTCGGCATGATGGCGGTCGTGTAAGCTGAGACATAGCGCACCATGTGTACAGGGGTGTTGCTAGTGATCTGCCTTGTCACGCCAGATCTGATAGGTGGGTTGATGATTTATTGGAGAAAATGTCAAGAGGTGCTAGGATCATTAAGAATCTCGGTTATTGTCCCTAATTGTCATGGAATAGGGATGATGATGACGCAGCGGACTGTGAGCGGAGAGACATGGGAAGCAAGGGTACTGGGGATGCTCAGGGCAGACGTGGCTGCCGTTGGTCTGCTTCAATCTTCGAGACGTCTTGTACTCAAGCGTCAGAAACAGCACCGACAGCCAGGGGCACGACAGATGGGGGTTGGAAGACCCACCGCAGCCTCGGTGTGATCCATCAGCTATACTCTCAAGGGGAGCGCCAGATGAGGCGCCTCGATGGAAATGTACACCGCATGCCGGAAGAAGCCAGTCTCATTCAATAAGAGACCACCTAGTTGTGTGGGAACAAAGTAGCACGTCCGTCCGGTTGCGCCCGGAAATTGGTGACAATATGCTAAATTGTCACGGACGATGGAGGATTAGCATTGAAGATGGGGCCGCGCGAGTCAGAAGCGAGCGCCAAGAGGACCCTGAGTTCGTTGCGCGATCCACTCCATCAATGTACAGGTACAAATCTCGGAAACAAGAGTGAGAAAGGCGGGATCTGCGTTGCTGATTCAATCTATTCGTGCGACGACAACATACATATAATCAAGATTGCCAGTCTGCCTAGAAGAAGAAAGATGCAAATGGTACAGGAACGGCATGTACAGACGTGACGAGATGTCTAGATCTTAGCCTTGGGTTGCTTGAGCATGGCCTCTGCGACAAGGCGTCGCTGAATCTTGCCAGTTGCCGTCTTGGGCATGATGTCGGTGAAAAAGACCTGCTGATCGTCAGAACGTGTTACACGGCACTGAAAGCATTGGAGAAGGACGCACCTGTTTTGGAAGCTTGAACTTTGCGACACGATCGGTCAGCCAGGTCTTCAAGTCGCCCGCGGACAGTTTCTGGCCTTCCTTGACAACGATGGCAAGACCGACGTCTTGTCCGTACATCTCGTCCTCCAGCGCGAAGCTTACAGCCTCGGACACCACAGGATGTTGCGCAATCACGTTGTCAAGCTCAATCGGGCTGATCTTCTCCCCACCCTTATTGATTAATTCTTTGATGCGACCAGTGATGATTACGTAGCCATCCTCATCCTGCTTGCCTTGATCGCCAGTGCGGAAGAATCCACCTTTGGTGAAAGATGAGGCGTTTGCGCTAGGATTGTTCAAGTAGCCCTTGGTGACATTCTCACCACGGATGCAAATTTCAGCCTCCTTACCCTGGGGAACCTCATCACCAGCATCATCCAGGATCTTTATCTCGACACCTTGACCGAGCCCGACACTGCCTGGCTTACGTTGGCCAGGAGGCAGAGGGTTACTCGTCATCTGGTGCGCGGCCTCGGTCATTGCATAAGCCTCCAGAACGGGGGCCTTGAAAGCCTTCTCGATTTCGTGGAACGTCTTCGGTGAGAGGGGAGACGAGCACGAACGGATGAAGCGAATAGCAGGCACCGGACTTGGGATGGGACTCTTCAGCAAGATCTGATGGATGGTAGGTACCGCCGTGTACCAGTTGGCCTTGTGCTCCTTGAAATCCGTCCAAAACTCGGATGCGGAGAACTTCGGTGGCACGACGACTGAACCACCAGAGGCCAAGGGCGCCAGAAACCCAGCAAGCAGACCATGCACGTGGAAGAGGGGCATGACGAGCATGGTGCGGTCCTCATGTGTCAGCTCATAGGTCCCCTGGATGTTCTGCATGGTGCACAGAAGATTGCGATGCGTCAGTGGCACAGCCTTGGGGCGTCCAGTGGTGCCGCTGGTGTGTAGCACGAGAGCAACATCGTCTGGTTGCGCAGACAAAACCGGCGAGCTCTTGCCAGCGAGCTTGCCGGTCTCCTTCACGTCCAAAACGACCTCTTTTCCGTTGTAGTAGCATTCTGCAATCGCTGCCTGGTACTTCCTAGCAGCCCTTACAGCTGCAGCATCTTGTGCAACAGCACCCTTGGGAACCAGTGCTATCGCCGAACTGAGATCGTCGATGTAGAACTCAAACTCAGACTGCTTGTACGCTGGGTTCAGGGGAGCTGCAATTGCCCTTTGCCAGGATGCGGCAATAAAGGAGACGATGAATTCGTATGTGTTGGGGAGCGCAATGGAGACGGCTGCTTGCGCAGACACGCCGACTTTGGCCAGCTGCGCCTGGAAGGCCTTCACATCGGTGGTGAGCTTGTGATAAGAGACCTCGAGTGCAGGCGATCCGGGCACAATGACGGCAGTCAAGGAGGAGATCGGGGAGAAGGCGTCGGCGAGCGTTGTCGGAGCCATCTTGTTGACTGTAGTATTAGATAAGGAGATGTCTACGGTTCAGGGTCAGTGCTGGTACCATGATAGCGCAATTGATGATGTCTTACTTTGGAGACTTCTATGTGATGAGATAAAGGGATCTGCCGGTCTAAGTGCACACCAAAGCCAGCTGAAGTGTATAAGAGAAAGTTGACTGTCCCGGCCTCTGGCCCATTTACAACAGCGAGCGAATGACGCGATTTGGTCCAATTGCCGTCAGGCCGTATTCCCGTGATAGATGCGGCTCAGACCGGGGTACCGCCTTAGCGTGGGGAAGCGCGGAACGCGCTTTCCTTTCGCGAAGCACATGCCACTCGAGCAGACGTCAACACCAAACCTCGCCGCAGTCTGCTGTGACTAGATGCATGTGACTAGCATATAATTTCTTTCTTCATACATTCACATAGTACTCGACAAATATCGACTCCTTACAGCGCCTGCGGTGCCTGCCACGCA